AACCAAAAAAAAAAAAAAAAAAAAAAGCAAAGTATATCATCTTTGTTTGCACGACAAAATCGTTGGAACAGTATTTATAATAGCAAGATTTTGCAAGATAAGAAAATGAACTAATACAGACCACTCATGTAACAAATGGGATTTTTTTTTAAAAAATTAGTTTGGAAACGTTTTAACGACCGAGGGTTGTTTGTTTGATGGGTCTTTTTAGATTGAGGCATTAAGTTGAAGATGAAATATTGGTGCCTTTTCTGGTCTGTAAAATATGTGAGGTCTGATATGAGCTTGGTTAAGTTCATGGATTTCATTGCTTACACTAGAAATTTTCTCCATTTTTGTGCTTTGTTTGATGACGGGTGTAATTACAATTACATTAATTGGAAGATTCTGTAATGCTTCCGCAAATCTTACTTTGTTTCATCAGCTGTGTTTTCTTTTACCTTTTTCGTATGCTTATTTTGATCACTTGCAGTCTCGTTCATATCAGGGAAAGAAAGATGCTTGCTAGAAGTTATGCCACTGGAGTGGGCGGATCAATTTTCTTATTCATGTGATATGAACGTTAAGATTTAGCTGAGATTAATTTCGAAGGGTCATTGCTTGATAGTCATAATGATGAGGGGCAGAGCTGATGGAGTTCAAAAGAAATACTTGGGCACTACATTGTGCATTATGATCGCTTGCCTTTTTCTCATATTTCTGTGCTTTGGATCCTTCTTCGGCTCTAAGGGAGAACACAATAATGCTGCACTAGACTATGGTAGTAAATTTTCAAGATCCTTGGGATTGAGCAATGACGATAATGGTGAGATTGGTAAGTCCGAGGAGTCCATTTTTGTTCTAGATGGTGGAGATGACAGTATTATACCCAAAAGCTTTCCGGTGAGTGCTCTCTGAAATGCTAGTTCCAAATTGCTAATAATTTCAGAATTACTTTATAACTGCTTGATATTCATCTTTGGAAGGTTTGTGATGATCGGCATTCTGAGCTGATTCCTTGTCTAGATAGGCACCTCATTTACCAGAGAAGATTGAAACTTGATCTGAATTTGATGGAGCATTATGAGAGACATTGCCCTCAATCTGAGAGACGCTATAATTGCCTGATTCCGCCACCATCAGGTTACAAGGTCTAATTTTTGGAATTTCTTCTCTTCTCTCAAGATTTATTTAAACTTTCAGATTTGCATCTGTGTTGACGCGGGGTTCTGAATCTGTCAATTTCTTTGTGCTGCAGGTTCCTATAAAGTGGCCAACAAGCCGGGATGAAGTTTGGAAAGCAAACATACCTCATACACATCTTGCACATGAGAAGTCAGATCAGAACTGGATGGTTGATGCAGGAGAAAAGATTAAGTTTCCCGGTGGAGGCACTCATTTCCATTATGGAGCTGACAAGTATATAGCATTGCTTGCAAGTGTAAGTCTAGGGTTATCGTAGTCCTCTTGTAAATACTTGATTTCTTGTGCACTTTCAAATTTTATACCAGAATAAAGCTGTGTTGAGAGAATCTAAAATTGTGAGTAATTCTATATTTTTTTTCATGTGTTTGCATAACCTTTTCACTTCAAGCTTTTATGTAAACGTAGAAAGACAAAACTCATTGCTGATTTGGACTTGCAGATGCTCAACTTCCCCAACAATGTTTTAAACAATGAGGGAAGGCTCCGGACAGTTTTTGATGTAGGTTGTGGAGTTGCGAGTTTTGGAGGATATCTTCTTTCATCTAATATCTTAACTATGTCTTTGGCACCCAATGATGTTCATCAGAACCAGATTCAGTTTGCCCTTGAGAGAGGAATTCCTGCTTACCTCGGTGTTATGGGGACAATGAGACTCCCCTATCCCAGCAGATCTTTTGAACTAGCTCATTGTTCTCGTTGTAGGATTGATTGGCTTCAAAGGGATGGTATACTTCTGCTTGAGTTAGATAGAATTCTTAGACCAGGAGGGTATTTTGCCTATTCATCTCCCGAGGCTTATGCTCAAGACGAAGAGGATAGAAGAATATGGAGAGCAATGAGTGCCCTTGTTGCAAAAATGTGCTGGAAAATTGCTGTAAAGAAGAACCAGACTGTTATTTGGGTCAAACCTCTTACAAATGACTGTTATATGGAGAGAGAGCCTGGTACTCAGCCTCCTTTATGCAGACCCGATGATGATCCAGATGCTGTTTGGCATGTACCAATGCAAGCCTGCATTACTCCTTACTCTGAGCGTGAGTAATTTAGTGTTATATTTCCTATTTGTTATAATGTCATTGTTACTTAAAAAATTAAAAATTATTTTATGATTAATGAGCTAATTTTGATTCTCATCTTGAATGATAAAGATTTTAATTTCATAATATAGTTCATGATAGGATATTGATATTCAGCGATTTTTTTCCTTTCCCTGGAATCTTTCATGTGCTATCTGTTCTTGCACATATATATGAAAATACGTAAGATTGTTGAGACCATGTCACCTGTCTTAGTAACTTCATAACCTCTGATTCCTTGAGATTCAGAGGGTGCTTGGGAGAGCTTATTTTTTGGTCAAACTAGATTTTGAGCTAGCTTTTTAATATCTACTTGTTTGGTAAAATATCAGATAAGTTAGCTTATAAGCCCCATTTTAAAAAGCTGGTATACCCCAGCTTTTAAAAAACTAGTTTATAAGCTCATCTAAATAAGCTAGGTTTGACTAAAAAAATCATTATTATCCCCAAATAATTTTTATAGCATTTTTATCATAAAAGTTAGAAGCCTGTAAAAGCTAGCATAACTTATAAGCTTCAAAAAATAAGCTCACCCAAACACCCTCTCAATACTACTACTCTTAAACTGTTCAGTGAGGAGCTACGAATAGTGAAAAGTTCTTTTCTGAAGGCTGCAAACGGTCAAGGACTTTGTCGAGAAACATCCTTAAATTTACAGAATTAATTATTAAACTCTACTAATCAAATATTTTGTATTACAAAAAGAATATCAAGGTAAATCACTCCATGCTCATGGGTAAGGTAAGGAGGGGTGCCAAGCCTTTTTTAAACTGCATAGTCTATAGCTTGCTGGTTATGACTCTTTATAATGTGCTCTATTTATGTATATTTCTTCTTGTTGGAACAATGTTACTTATGGCATATAGTTTTAGTTTTTTTCTTAACAAGACATATGCTTCTTGCTGTGCAGAGAGTCATAGAGCTGGAGGAAGTGGGTTGGCTCCATGGCCTGCGCGTTTGACTTCACCCTCTCCCCGCCTTGCTGATCTTGGATATTCCTATGAAATGTTTGATAAGGACATGGTAATTGATTCAGTTCTATGAACCTATATGATTCTTTGTGCTTCAGTTTCAGTATGCTTGGACATGTCTTCAGGAATAACTGGAAGGCATATCTGGACACGTAATATGGTATCTGATAAGCTTCCATATGATGTAGGAAATTTGGCATCACAGGGTTGATAGTTACCGCAGCCTGCTGACTACAAAGATCGAACCAAATACTTTGAGGAATGTGATGGACATGAAGGCAAACATGGGATCATTTGCAGCTGCTCTTATGGATATGGATGTTTGGGTGATGAATGTTGTGCCAGAAGATGGACCAAACACCCTCAAGATTATCTATGATAGAGGCTTGATAGGCACCATACATGACTGGTAAGCGAAAAATATACATCTATATGCTGAGAGTGAAGTAGGGGGAAAACTAACTACATTTCTTACCATTTCCACGCTGTCCAGGAATTATGTTCACTTCACAAATACATGTCGTGTTTAATACACATCAAAACTAGGACAAGTTCAAAACTTTAAACAAACAAAATGAAATATTTATGATTTCATTATTTTAAGTATATAATTTCTAGTTGAGTAAAAAATAAGTTTGAAAGCTCAATCTGCTACCTGGACAAATACCGGTGTTTGATGTCCCTCACATTGTTTGTGAGGGCTTCAACTTCTATTTAAGTAGTATATACCAAAATGTTTGATACAATTTTAGAATTGTATCTAGCTGAGATGGTTACTCTGCTCAAAGTTTGTGTTTAATATTCTAAGTCCATGAGCCCAGTGTGTTGGATATGTGTTGGTCAAGGCGCGTATGTAAACAGGACTCACTTTTAAAGTATTTGTGCTTTCTGTCTGATAGACATCAATACCAATTTTCATCCATAGATCATGGATAATCCAGTGTACAAGCAACTAATACAAGGCCTTCGGTCCACACTTGCATGAATAATCAGCCACTCAGGGCTTGTTTTGAACATGCATGAATAATTAGATCTGCAGTTGCAGTTTACAAAATGCAGCGGGCACTGGATCAAATAGAAAATTCTTTGTATTAAAACTTAACAGTGGGGTATTCTGGTAGAAAATTCACTTCATTAAAACTGATCTGAAAGATAGTCAACTGCCTAAAAGTTGAAACAACTTGCTTTTTTTCCTTTTTCTTATCTTATATACTTATATATGCATCAAGTAGTACAAAATGAACAGATGATGTTTAGATTTATAGTTTGGGTGCATAGACATTTGATCATGATCATAACAATTGAAAACCGTTGCATAGAATTTTTTTTGTTAGGTTTCCGACGTTATAAACTGTTAATGAAACAACTGGCTATCTTGACTATCAATTGTCCATTTTCTATGTAACTGATGTATATGTAAAAAAAAATTAAAAATTAAAAGACAGGGAGGGAGGGAGGTTAAGACCGCTTAATCTTCAATTAGTCACAGTTAATAATATAGAGCCAATTTATATAGAAATGTAATTTGATTTTTCTTACTGCTGCATTTGAATATACATTACTTGTTTTGGAATCCTTACCTAAGGCGCCATGTCTCTCATATGCATGGAGAGTGAGAGCGAAAGGCAGTATTAATGTATACATTTATGATTTAAAACTATTTTAGCAGAGGTAATTTCACAATCGCATCTTGTATGGGACATCAGTTGCAGAAAATTGCAGCGCAAATGTTCAACAGTTCAATTCGTTTATTTAAACACTTGATTTTTATAACGTGAGATACACAGAACTATTTATTAAAATATTGTTGAAAATTGTAAAGATGACTGATGTTGGGCAACTTCGAAGATTTCATGTAATTTTAGACGGAGAAACTATAAAGGAAAAAAGCATAGGAAAAAGAAAGAATAATGAGAGAATGGGAATTCCCATAACTTATTATCTGTCAAATGTCACCATTTTGCAACCAATGGCAACTACTTTTATCAGTACAATATAGAACTAGTTTTCCCCACGCAATGCGTGGGACTTGATATTACAAAGTTGTTGTATCAATCATATTGCTTTCACTCTAAAAGTTGTACCACAAATTAAGAATATTATTAAAATAATAATAACAAAACTTATTCTCATTGCAATCAACAAGAGGGAGATGGAAGAAAAAAAGTTTCGGAGAAGTGCACAAGTCAATTCTAAGAATTTGTCGTGTGACAACCTAGGATTTATTTAGTACATACATGGTATATATAGATAGCATATATACTGGCTCAGTGACAGTTGATATTTCCTACAGGTGTGAATCTTTTTCAACCTACCCTCGAACTTATGACCTCCTCCATGCATGGACTGTGTTCTCTGACATGGAGAGGAAAGGATGCAGCGGCGAGGATCTTCTGTTCGAGATGGACAGGATACTCAGACCAACCGGCTTTATCATAGTCAGGGACAAGCGAACAGTCATAGAATTCATCAAGAAATATCTAAAGCCATTGCACTGGGAATCTGTAGCTATTGCAGACGCTGAGCCCGACAATGACTAGACGATAGCAGCCATTTAGAGTAAGTTGCATTGCACATTTTTGACATCTATATGGTCAACTAGATGAGCCAAAGGCTCTGAAATCATCCGCGCCCTCTAATTAATTTTTTTTTTCTTTGCTGTATAAATGAAATGATGGTGCGATATCTACATATCTACATGTAAGCAGTCAAAGGTAGTGTAACTTTTTTGACAGGATTTTTGTTGGGTCATTCTTGGAAGAAATAGTTAATAAAAAAAAATAGTTTTTTCATCTAGTCATTTTGCTCTTCAGATTTAAGTGAGTGTTGTTCAACATCTGCTGATAATGGCGACGATTATTTGGATGGAACTGCCTGCATCTAGGAAATGTGTCTTCACTGTACTTTTAGTTGGACGTTTGGGTATATCAAATTCTGAAGCAATGATCTAATTGCAACAGCTTCTTCTCTTTCGAGAAATAGGCGCATCCTATTTGATTCCCCAGCCCATATTGCGCAGCCCTCCTCTCAGTTGATTACTCTCTCTCCTTCCTCTCTCCCCCCCCCCCCCCCCCTCTCTATCTCTCTCCCCTCTTCTCTCCCCCCCCCCCTCCCCCCGATCGTCGTGGAATGGATCACGGTGAAGGTTTTTTTTGCCATACAAAAAAAAAATAGCGCTTTCGGAACCCGACGGCTGTTGTTTTAAGTAATTGGCAAACCGAAAAACGCTGTGTTATTCACATTGAGGCATAAGTTCATAGTAACATCCATGGCAGCGAAATACAAACTCCGCAGGCGAAAAGATCGCACAATCTGCTCCCTGGTAAAATCACATTGCACAGGCCGCCTCCTTCATCCTGTCACCTAAAAACTAATATCATACGCAGAACCCCCATCGCCGTGATCGAGAACATAAACACACTTTTTTATCTCGCGCACATTCAAAAAATATCAACAACTCAAAAAAATTCTTCAAGGGTCGCATTCTTAAAACCCATCACAAGATCTCTAAACCAGGAAGAATGGCATCCAAGTAACAGCAAGCTCAGTTCAAGACAAAAGTTCTGTTCATTATAAGAATCAGCAAAGAGATTTTCATGTTCAATGGTATGCCCAACAGAATAAGCCCACCATCGGGCAGAGATTCAATTGGCAGCACTTGTCTGCAACACATACAAAATCTAATCTAAATAATAACACTGGACGCTAAGAAGTCTTTCCAATCTGCGCTGCACCCAAATCTGATGTGGAGGCCTTAGTCTTTTGGAGCTCCCAAGTTCCTGAAGAAAAAGAACATACGACCCAAAGCAATGGTCAGTAGAAATCACTATAACATCAATAATGAACATATTCCGCAAAATACACACAAATTTTTTCAACAAATTAAAGACTGGAATATTGCTACTTCTTCACTTTAGGTTTCACATATATAGTGTTTGTGAATGAGAGGGGGAAAGAACTACACTCCCGACAAACACAAAACCTTCATACAGGTGGAATCCATATCAATTTGTTTACCTTCACTGATGAAAACTGCAAATAAGAAGGATCACAAGCTTTATTTGTGGAGGACGCTTCTCTTCACAGGCTTTGGCTTCTTCTGAGGCTGCCTCTGAAACAGGAGGTCAAAGTAAATACAAGCTTAAACTGATAAGAAATGAGACAGTAAACATGTTGTAGCAATAAATACCATACCTTCTGTTTCTCTAACGCCTCAAAATCTATCCTCTTTTTCCATGTACTCTTCCGCAATTTGATTGGACGGTTTCCAACATATTTACCTGAAATTTTTGTGTGGAATGATGTTAATACTCATGTACATATCTACTGAAAGAAGCAATTTTGCACACATTACTCTAGTAATCAAGTACGCACCATTCATTTCTTTCAATGCAGAGACAAGATCTGAAGAATCTGCAAAACTGACAAATCCATAACCTTTAGTTTTGCCAGTGTTCTTGTCTCTCACCACCTGAGATATAAGATAAGTTAGTAAACATTCAGAGACAGACATTCAAGGAGTTTACATTGACAGAATACTCAAATGAAGTCGCAAAAATTACAATATCCTTGTAATCTGATCTTGCATCATTGCAGATAGGTTCAGTATATGATTCACTCGCCAACAGTCTAGAAAATCGACAAAATGTTCGTCATAATCTGAAAAAAACTTCATCTCAAGAATAAAACTTTATCTCAAGAAAATAACTTAACTATTGGAGAATCACATTTTCAAGAAATCTACACATTCTTTCTTGCTGACCATGATTCATTACAATCATTGACTCTTCTAGAACACTGCCAAAGAATAGAGCAAATTAGATTCAAGAACTTGGGGTCAGACAGCATCACAATAACAATATCGGCGATGAAGTCACCATCATCAGGATATGAAAACAACGATATCTAAAGAACTATTTCATAGATAATAAGAAAACTAGAAGAAATTAGATGAGCACTTACTCTTGCCCTGTTGAAAGAAGGATATCTTGAAAAAGCTTTTGAAAGAACATCATCATTAACCTCATTGCCAAGATCTCCACAAAATATACGGAAATCATCTGCAAAAAAGAAAGAAAAAAAGCTTAATTAACCTTTGGTATTCCAACAAATTAATATTGTGTATCCGCATTAATTATGTAAAGAAAAAGTAAAAACACATAGGTACCTTTAGGAGAAGATTTGATCATCTAAAAAAAATTAAGAAAACATTAAAGTACAAACAGATCGTTGCTGATACCATCATAACAGAACTAATGAGATAATGGAGTTCCTCTGGAGAAATACAAAAGCCTAGCTTCTTAAATATACATGTAAACTCATATCCCTGTGCTTTACATGCGTAGACATCAAGAGATGTCATGTAGCCAAAACACAAGTAGAACCAAAGCGCCAAATAGATTGACCATCACATTTCAAAATAAGTGAGATGTATGCGGCTCAAATTTTGCCTCTCCTAATACATGCATAGACTTCACAGCCTTACCACCGTATCTTCTCTATGTACAAACATAGAAAAAACAGAAGGTTCAAGATAAACTTGGAAGAGACTGTTTCACATTAGTTTAACAGAATAGGTCCCAGAAAAACAAGGACCAGAAAATTAACACCTCAAGCACAGAGAGAAATTAGAATAGGGGGCAGTGATGTTGTAGGAAGCCATTAAGAAAAAGAAAAGCAATCATGATACACCTTAAATTATAATTTCCAATATAAGTAACCTAAAAGTTCAGTGAGAAGAACATTCAAATTTGTGAGATGCAGCCATGAAATTAGTTCACCTTAAAGAAGATAAGCCTAAATCACAACACAGTTCAAAAACATTAGATGGAAAAGGGGAGCACGATGATCAACCAGGAATAACAATTTCACTTAACCATGTGTTGATATATATAGATGACAGAACTACAGTATTTATTTTTCGTAGACTTCAATTTAACAGGCAAAAAAATAAGACCTAAATGCTTACACGTTCTTTTAAAAAAATGTGACAGAAAAAGGAAAAATATTGTATGAAATAGTAAACAAACAAGTGAATGAGATAAGAATCATACTCTCAGGCCAATCTGCTAAAGTTGGATCTTCCCACGTTTGTCCTGCTGCTTTACATGGTATGGCTCTCTTTTTTATCTCTGCCTTTTGCTGAACTTCACTACTTGCAAGGGCAGCTTTTACACTCTGTATAGCTTCCGGTGTAATAATTTGAGCATCCTTCTGGAACAACTGTTGTGCCTGTGAAGATTAATAATAATAAAAAAGCATTGTGAATCGCTCTTTGCCAAAACATACATATAGAGGGGAAGGGACAAAGAGATTCTTCACAGCTATATGTTCTGTCATTCTGCCATCTACTACTAGTCAGTGGTCACTTGCACTTTGCCATCAAACAAGTAACTTTCTAATTAATAATGGGAATGATGGTGATAAAATTAATCTGAAAAAAAATAACAACAACAACAACGCGCATACTAATCATTTACACTTATACATGTCCTTTGTGATTGCTTCTGCATTTCTTATTAAATATTAGTTACCCAGTGGAATATCATCACAGAAAAATGATGTG